TATAAACAAAGGGCATTCTCTCACTTTGAACATCCACAGAAAGAGAAGAGCTAGCGTGTGTCTTGTAACACACACATTATATTATCACAGAATAATTGCTCCTAGGGCCAGCAGTTCCCCCTCGAGAATAGGCTCACATCCCTCTTCCAGCTTCATTAGAGGCTGAGGAAGGACTGTAAGTGCAGAGGTACCAATCTTTTTTCCAGATTACTGAAAGAGGAAGAATATCCAAGTAATAACACTGAAGCACAGCAAGTTCTATTTCTCTCTGTTTCAGAGTAAATTAGCTTGTTGAGAGCTCTATGCTAGGACATGTAAACTGCTTCTTGTACCTAACTGAGTTATCTTAGATATTTCTATAATGCACTGCATTATGAAAAACAGATCTGCCCTCAAAATAGGGGAAAGAAAAAAACTGCTTCTGCTCGGGTGAGTCAAGAAGAATAAACAGGCCTAGATAAGCCACAGTTTCCTGTGCCAAGAATCTGTTTTCCCATGTGCTGGCACATTATAAGGCTTTTTACCACTACTAGTAGGACTCATATTTAAAAAAGAAAAAAAAACCCAATCCACCCTTACTCATTGCCCTGATGGAAGCTCTTATCAACAGGATCATTTGGAGAGCTTGTCTTGGAAACACAGACAGAAACCTAGCCTCTGTAAATTATGGTTTTGATGAAGATTAGCCTGCATGCAGGCTGACAAGATTTTCAGGACACCAACAGGAGTGGCTGGGCGATGGAGATGCTCTTTGGTCTGTTCAGGAGGATGTGAAGGGGAACGGGCAAGAGAGCGAGTTTACCATCAAAGTCGTAAATATGCATGCATATAGACATCAGTCAATATTTATGGATGATTTTTCTACATAACCTCATTTTATTTAAAAGACTTCTATTGTTTTTGTTCTAACTGCATCAAGGTGTCAATATGGCAATAAAGACTCTCTGTTACACATATTAAGTAATATGTAAATAAACATACATACACTTGTGCAATATAAACCCAAAGACACACATAGAGTAAAAGATAAAAGATCAGAAATAAGATGCAACTTTTCACTTACCCTTTTTTTTTTTGCAAACTACTGCTTTCTTCTAAATAATTAACACTAAAATATATTTCTGCTAATTAAAATCCAATTATTACATAGCTGTTTTAGATATCTTTAATGTCTTGATGCTTGAGGAGAATATTTTCTGAAGCAGTTGTCCTTGAAATGCGCATTACAGTTACATCACTACTCTTTAAAGTAATTATTCAAAACAAATAATATCTAAAATAGGTATCTAAAATAGCTGTGTATTTGTTTTCACATAAAAGATAAGGACATACAAGAAAAAACCCATACATCTAAGTTGTACAGGATAGCAAAAGTGCTTTGTAAGAAGGAAGTGAGAAAAATCTCACCTAATTTTTCTTTTGCTTGGGGAGGTATATATTACAAGGGGTTTTTTTCAGTCATCAAATAATTTAAATTGTGGGTTATACGCTGAGAAAACTACCATGCAGTCAGTACTAAAGGGCTAACTCCCTGCCTATAATAATCAGGATCTTCTTTTCTCTTTTGTACTTCACACTGACAGGTTTCTTTTTCTACGGAAAAAAGAAGATACATATGATTCTTCTTTGCTGCAAGACAAATAATTCTAAAATCCTGAAACTGTCAAAATCTAATCATTAAGTCTAGGATAACAGATAAAGTTATTGATAATAGATTGAGTTAGTGTCAGCTGGAACTATGAGCAGTTAGTTTTTGCTGTTTCACTCTGCAGTAACAGCACCTCCTGCGCACAGTTGTTCCCACTGGTAATCCCCTTACTGGCCATATCACAGGAGAAATACGGCTAAAGATAGCACCGCAGCCCAGCACTGCAATATTTGTGTGGCTCATAAATGCCACAGTTATGAAGTCAAAAGTGATAGTGGCATGGGTTTTCAGCAATGTAAGTGCCTGTCTCCAGCAGATGCTTTAAATTTAAATAGTTACACATGCAAACTTACACATTTGCATCAAGAGATAGAACAAAGGAAAAAACCTGACTGGCAAAAAGATATTCCGTACCACTGCCAAAAATTTACCTGAGGCTCATTTGGTCATGCTGTGTTTTACAATTATAGTGCTTTTGATGCCAAAATACAAAATTTCAGAGCATAAAAATCTTCAAGCACACAACACTGAGACAGAAAATCACAGCCTCACAACTACAGTCATATCAGCTGCACAGAAAAGTTAAATGCTGTAAAGATACAAAACAAAAAAAACCTAAAACCAAGAACATCTGAGAACTAAAATTAATCATAGTTAATGTACTGGTAGCTTCTAAGAGCAGCAGTCAAGCAGAAAAATGTTGCTTAGGTACTTCTTCTGAAAATCACATGTCAGAGAGTGAAAACTACCATTCAAGTATTTACTGTTAAATATTCCATGGTTCTCTGATGCATTACATACAAGCGGAAGTTCAGACACATACCTCATTCTCTTTTATTTTTTTAGTCAAAGTTAAGCAAGACCCACCATTTTAATTCAATGTTATAATAAATATTATCTTTGATTTATATACTAGATAAATTGTTTATGCTTTATGGTTTCTTTTTACCACAGCTATACTAAGCAAAGTTAAATCTGAAGGTGTCAAAAATTCCATAATGAATTATTAGGAAACACGAAACTATTAGAATGGAGAACTTACCCTTTTCATCAGCTTTGTCTTTTACTGCTAGAGTATCATTACTCAGAGATACTGTCTGGGCATTTAAAATGTCTGTTCTCATTCCTGGAAATTTTGGAGAGGAAATTAATCTTCCTTCATATGAATATACATAAAGTCCTCCACCATCTACAAGAAGAAAATGCCTACAAAAAAACCCAAACCAACAAAAGTGTAAATTAATAAGTAATACAGAAAAGCATGATGACAGTTTTAACAATTTGAAAGTTATTGTCTAATATCCTGTGACTGTTTTCAGTTAAAGTTTCATTTCTAAGCCTTACATTTCAAATTGATATTCTGAAAGCTCAATATGGAAGATTTCAGTTTTAACGCGAATGTTATTTTTTTCCATGAGAAATATTTATTAACTGGAACTCCTATGACTTTATCTGTTGTAGGTATTATAAGATTTAAATCTTACAGGTCCTGATGACAAAGCATACAGCTGCAGACGGTACTCTGCACACACCGCCCCATTGAGCCAACACTGTGTGTATGTACGGGACAAACAGCTTTAATGTTTGCAGCTAGCTTTGAAAAAGTATTACCTGTATCATTTCTTTCAGTATGACTAGATTATAATCTAAAGCAAATAGAAGACACTTCTAATGAACTGATCACCATCTATTCTGATGCAGGGCTTCAGTGAAAAGCAACTTATTTGCAGGAACACATCACAAGCTTTTATAAAGAACATAAATAGTTCTGCATAACAATAACTGTTTGTTAAGTACAGTATCTATAGTTCATAGACACAAAACACATCCATAAACAAAAAACCAGTAGACTCCCAGCTATTGTAAATGTTACCAATCACTGGCATCAAATGAACCACATATTCCTGTTTAGACATTTATCTGTCATGGTAGACTGGTTTTACCAAAACCTTAGGTTCATTTCTGTGCATCACCTACACCACCACAGAATCTGTGCCATGTTTTCAAAATTTACTTTTAATTTGCAGCACAAAGTCCAGATCTAGAAACTGATCTTCAAAGTCCTGTCACTTGCTTACCCATTCTCTACTGCAGTATTTTTGTAGACTAGGGCATAAGCGTTTGACCTGGGGCACTCAGAAATGCAGTGAGCATGTGCTGCACTTTGCTGAAATAGTTGTCTGACAATATTTATCCATGAGAATTAAGACTATAATCAAAACTCAAGATTTTTGGCTTCTGCTCCTATTCTTAGTCCTTTGAAAGACTCTACAAAAGCACACACAAAGATCTCTTTGACAAATGATTTTCAGGAAATACAGATTAAATTTTTTTAAAACTGAGAAAAAATAGTAATTTCTTGCAAATATAAATACAAATATGCAAGAAAAAATGAAACCATTTCTTTTTATTTGGCATACCTAGCAATGTTTTTAATAAAAATTGGAGACCAAAGATAATTTATATAAAATATCTTCCAGTTCAAAAAAGCAATATAAAACATCAAAACCCCCAGATGTTAGTGTAATGTCAGAAGATCTCATTTCTTCCATAAATAAAAGTATAGACATACATATGTAATATATGAAAAGATTCATTACCACCATCACAGATCTACAGCAAATATACCAGCTAAGAATTTACATCCTACTTAACAATTTTGCATACTTTTTGTCTAACATTTCAACGCATGCTTATGTTATATAACAAAGTTTTAGGAAATGCATATTCACATCTAATAGTGAGCATTTCAAGAAGTAAGCTACCTTTCCGCTTGTAGAATCAAACTAACTGTTCCTTCCTTCAGGTCAAAGATCAGTGGTGTATTCCAGTTCTTTGTGCTGAAAAAAAAAAAAAAAAATTGTTAGAACCGCTAATCTTCACATATCATTGCAAATATAAAGTTGAGTTCACTAAGCAAAGCACACACATTTTACTCATCTAACATTCCTAAAAAGGGAGGTTTTCAAAAGGCAAACAGCATTTAGGAAACCAAGTAACACTGACAACCATGCAGTTTGATCCAATAACACTTCTGCCTTCATTTTTGCATCCCTTCACACTAGGAGTCTTAGTAAACAGAAAAATCTTGTTTATATGAACCAAACATATTTTTTAAATATTTCTGAATTGTGGTTCAAACTCTTTTACAGTGATCCAAAGGTAGGATAGAGTCCCTCTCTTGTGTGCCTTATTACAGGCTGAGCATTAGTCATCTCTTAAGTGCCTTTAGGAGTAAACTTTACATTTCAGCACATGAAACAGAATATCATGTTCTTAAAATATGATGCAGGATTGAATAATTTCTATTCTATTCCAAAATAACGGCATGCCAGAAGCAGTATCCAAAAAAAAAAAAAGGAATCCCTAGATGGAGGCACATAACTGGGACAAATACACTTGCATCCAGCAAAAACCGCCACCCAAAAAGAAAGCATACCAGATTTTTGTAGCAAAATGAGCAGGCAGTCATGGCACCAGCAAGAAGCTGAAAGAAAAGGATGATAGAGGGAGGGCAACTATACTCCAATACATTTTGTTGTCGATGATGCTAGGTTCCATACAATATTTCCATTCGTTAAAAAAAAAAAATAAACTAACTGCTGTACTTAAAAAAAGTTTCTGCTACTCTCTTACGACTCTTAGGTAAACTCGAGAAAGCTTCACTAATTTGTATTACTTACGAAAACACGTAACACTGAAGAGAAGTTGAAACAACCAAATGCCCGTAGTTCAAAGAGGCTTTAATAACCCTGTCACGGAATTCCAACAAATCTACCGCATCATTAATAACATTGTGCACCTAATCGAAAGAAAATTTTGGTTGAATAAAACAATAATAACTGAAATGAAAACTAACTAGTGAAATATTCTATTCTTCCTTATTATAAGCACATGCTGATGCTATTAGCAGAACATATCTATGTGGGAATAAGCACTTTCATAGCACTGGTGAAAAAAACCCAAAGGCTCTATAAACTCTGAATAAATAATGAATAATTACTGAAGAGCTGGATGAAGTACCTTAAAAGAAGGCAGTAATTAATGCGTACTTGGAATATACAAGATGTAAGCACAATATTATATGTAACGTTGATAAAATCATCTGAGATCAAGGATGTCTGAAAGTTCCCATTTTAAGATTCAGTGTCCAGTTGCTGATTTTTGAAACATTTGGAATGTAATACTTCAGCGATCCCATCACGGTCGCATCAGAACAATTCTGCAGTATCCAAAATTTGGATAAAGATATGTTGTCTAGAAGTTGAATAGTTCTAGCATATATTTTAATCCTACCACACTCTGAAGTAAGGGAAACTTAGGAAACGGCCTTGGTGTGCTGGCTGTGCCTTTGCCAGTTCTGTGAAAATTCTCTTAAATGACAATGTCTCAAGAAAATCACAGTTTGCCTGTAATCAACACAGATTTTTGAACTCAAATATTTTAGGCAGCTAAAATCTAAGGATATATCTTATGACAGGTTTTTGTTTGCTTCTTTGCTTGGGAGGGGGGGCATTGTTTTTCTTTTTTTAAGTTGTCACCATTCTGAGGATGGAAACTTCTTTTTTATTTTCTCCATTATGCAACCAATTGCAAAACAAGGACTAAATTCAATTATTATGAAAGCCTAGAAACCATTTCCAAAGACATGTTAATTGCTATGTCTACCACAGTAATATGTCCATAATTAACTTAGGTATTGTAGTACTCAGGAAAAAAAAAATGTATCAAGAACTTTTTGTAGGCAATATTTTCCTACATACATATATCAGAATGAAATAAAATTGCTATAAAATAATAAAATAAAAATTTAGTCCTGAATCAGGGTTAGCTGTACTTCTTCAGTTGTTTGCATATTCAAACACCCTTGAGATTATTCACATAGCCAATCTGTTACGAGTCGATGTCTGGGAATGAAAGAAGAAATATGAATTTTTACCTGCTAATTTGTCTTCTGTGTTCCCAGACACTGACTCATGTTATCCCACCCACCGGACCAAACTGCAATACAGCATTTCTGTTGTTACAACTTTTCCCAATTACCTATTCAACATTAAAGAATCAAGACCAAAAAAACATTTAAGGGCCTAATTAGGAATTTAGGAACTTGATTTCGATATTGAAAGTATTGGCCTGGTGTCCAATACCAAATGTGTAATTTGGAAAATTTGTAAGAATGGAAACCTTATATTATCCCAGTGTTCAGAGAATGCACGTTGTGAGTCAGTGTCTGGGAACACAGAGGACAAATTAGAAGGTAAAAATTCATATTTTTGTATTAATTCCCAGATATTTGGTAACCTAAATGTGGATTCAGGCCAAGATTTTTCAAATGAAGGATCCTAAACTTAAGCTCCAGAAACCACATGCAGGGGCCTGTTTCATTTCCAGCAATGCTGAGACTTGGCAGCTCTCACTGAGGTCAATGCCTGTTGCTCAGTACTCGGCTGGAAGCACCATGCAGGTACCTGATGTATGTTACATGATATGCCACAAATTTCTGTAGCTTTAAAAGATCTGAATCTAGCTGTAATACAATACGCGATGCAGAAAAGCACATTATAACTCTTTACAGTTAGTCAGCGACCAAAGTTATCTGGAAATGCCCTAAAGACAGCAACATTCATCACAACAGGGATGCAGTAAACCTTACTAAAGCATTAGCTATTACAAAGTGCCTCCGACAAGTCATGAGTGCAGAGAAGGTAAAGAAGGCTCCTCTACATTATCTACCCTTAATTAATTATGCAGCCTCATCTTTGCAGACAGTTACTGTAATACTATTTAATAGATGCTTTGGTTTTGGCCGATGTATTGTTTTTTGCATAAACATTTTCATTACACTTGAAATTATCTCTCTAGTAAGTGGCCTCCCACAGCTAATTTCACATGCTCTTCAAATGAGCTTCACATTTTTCTGGAGGATAAAGTACTTCTGAGTTATGTAATTCTGGTCAATCTGGTGGTACGGTTTGGTTTACATGGATCTGATCTTCTGTACAACTGATAATTATTTACCAACTCTGGCCATTTTACAATCTTAAACACTTTCAGTCATATATACAAAGGAAAAAAAAAACCTGACAATGTTTTGTTGAGGATTAAACATCCACATTTTTTATTTAAAAAAGCCTTAGAAAGCTACTAATTAGAATGCAGAGCTCTGAACTGTGAAGATTACCTCCATGGTTCTCCTCTTAATTAACGTTATTTCAAAGTTCTTCCACTCCCAGTGTTGCTCCACGACATGGGCAAAAATGACATGTCCATTTCCACATGCTCCAGCTAGTTGAGTGCCATCGATAGACCAGGCAATATTAAATACGCTGCCAGTGTTTGGCTTCTCTAAAGCGTAAGACCACTTGTAGAAAAAGAAAAAAGAATTCTTAATTTTCTTGTATTTTTTTGAAATAATTGATTACAATAAACGGATTTGCACGGTTATGATTTTTTAAGAAACATCAATGAACTAACTTTTTATTACAGCTTGAATAAGCAAACCAAAGAGATTAGATGTCTTAAGACAGATTCTTGAAAAACAGAGATATAAAAAGGAAAACCATCAGGTATGGCAGAAATGAAAAAAGTCTGAAGTACATTAGGTAAAAGTTACCTAGTCACAATACATTTAAAATGTACTTATTCATAAATCTAGGCAATCACTACATAAAAATTAAGTGAACGTATTTAGAAACAATGGTTACGTGGGTGCAACAAGCTGTAGTCTTAAATGTGATGCTTTCGGTTTACACTGCAGTGACAGCGGCTCCTGAATCTAGAAAGAACAAGACCTGGGCAAAATCAGTCAATACAAATACATGAGGCACTTCTGTTCCAGCATACAGGGACCTGCAAAGCTCTTGTGTTGCTTCTCTCTGTACGTCTAACATAAGGGACATTGGTGGATTATAAAAAATCTCTGAAAGCAATGCCTGTATACTGTTCTCCTAACACAAAAAAGAAGCTAGATAGCTTGTCTACCTTTTTCTCTAATCTCTTGTTACTGTACAGGGAAGGATGTATTAAAAATTTCCAGTTGCTATGCTTGCAATAAGAACAAAAAATTGAAATGTTACTGCAACCAAGGCAGGGACATCTGCCCTAACTTTGGAGAGAATCAGAAACAACAGTTCTGCCTGTTGCAGTCGTTTCAGATAATTAAGAGGTGCTCAGAGAGGAGTATCATACTTAAATGTCATGAGGGCAAAGGTCATTATTACAATAAGATTCTGAAATATATTTAAGTAGTGTGTCAGCTTTCCTATGCAGCTAGAAATTCAAATGGCAGGCAAAACGGCATCTTCGTACATTTTCCTGCTAGCTGGATTTTGCAAGATGGAAAGGCTCACTCAGACCTAAAGAATTCATTTCTGTGGCATTGCGGCTAACAGTTTCCTTCACCTTCTACTATCGGCTTACATCATCAACGTCTATTCAAAAATAGTTATCAGCTTGGTTTGTTGGTTTTTAAATGGAGGCCCAAAATTATTGGGATAGCGGGAAGCTGTGAAAGCAGCAGTGACTGGCAGCTTGCAGCACAGTACGTATCGGGGACCAGGAGACACGCTGCTCTGCCCCAGCAATTTTTTTTTTTAAATTCCTTGCCTGCCTCTGCATAAGGCATAGTGCCACCCATCCTACCCACGCGGCACCTTGGCATCACCTGTTCCAGTGCACCAGGGTGCACAGACAGAGCATGCGCTTCAATCAAACAGCACGAGACTTCTTATTCTTTGACACCTCTCCTTTTTTTTCATTCTCTCGGTTTTCATTCTCTCTGTTAGCATTGCAAAAAATAAAATTATAAATCCCCCGAGTAGAAAGAACAAGGGCAAGGTATTAAAACTAGCTTTTGCTTTTTTCCTTCTGATCTATAGCACAAATGTAGTCACTAGAGAAGCTTACATTTAGTACTAAACCTAATTTTGTTCTTTTTCAATATTTAAATTTCCTCCAGTGAAGAACTTTATTCTTAAATTCCCCCAGCCTTATGTACGAGACTCCTCTGAAGTTTACCTGGATCCTGTAAGAAACTAGAAGAATTTTCAGACCAAGACAATTGTTTTCTATTTCTTGCATCTGAGAAATACAGCTCATACAAATCATCCCAAATCTCTAACAAGTGTTGCCCTGACAGTGGATGACAAAAAATGAAACAACCTTTTAATGGACTTTTAGGATGACATTAAACCAGGTTTCAAAACTAGAAGCAGATCTCAACTATCACCTCTTCAGAACTGTGTAATACAATATTTAAAAAAACTTTTAGCAATTGAAGAACTACATGAATATTCAAATACATTTGACATCTTAAGAATCACATCAGTAAGAAAAAACACGTGATTGAAGTTAAATGTAGACATTTGATTCTCATGACTTGGATACATGATATTGTACCAAAGGGGAGACAGTTGGAAGAAAATACTCACCTAATGGTTCTAACACATTTCATATTCTGATTGCTTTCGCAGTACACATAAAACCCAAGAAATACTAAGTCCTTCACACAAAGTCTTTGTAAGATATAAGAAATGAAATACCAAAAATTACAGTAAAATAAAAGGCGTCAGACTTAAACATTCAATAGCAAGGAAACACAATGGGATGAAATTCAACCTCCCAGTTGTGCTAATGATTTGCAGAATACCATGTAAGATGACCTACTGAGCTAAGGCTCTTTTACTGCCTACGCGCCTAAGAGTGAGCGAATGTCAGCACCAACTGTATTTCCAATTTCAAGCACTCAATTTTAAGGCTTCAGCTTCCATGGCTCTTGGCTCACAGACATGCCATTTGCTGCCTATACGATCTGCAGTTGGGGAAGGTAATTACAATTTTTGGAGAAAAGTCCATAACCTACACTTCTGTCTCAAGGGGCTGAATTCAGTATGAAACACTCTATAGTAATTAAGAGCACAGTATTTAATTATGTCTGACATCCTTATATGGCAAATGAGTAAGCACTTGAGATTGTAGGACAAATGATTGTAAAAAGCACACTCAGAGAACACTCTAAATGTCCTACATCTGAGACATATTTTTCACAGCTGGCCAGATGTGATCTATCTGAGAACAGTTTGAAGAAGTACTATTTCAAAACTGAATATTGGGATCCTCCCAAACAGACAAAGCTGTTTCTAAGGTCATTTCCCTTAGATCAAGAATCTACCCATCAGTCAGAACGAATAATAAAGGGGCATCAAGCCATCAACTAGAAAGTTTAAGGAGCTTGAAGAATGTGGCTTTGGTGCTACTTTTGCTATGCATAGCAGATACACTGCACCTTGGAGAGGATACATTTCCAAAATGGCTTTTTTTTTTTTTTTTTTTTTACCAGAAATCTTTTTATTCCAGGTAGCTGAAATACTCAGTAAAGTATTTCCAGATTACCACGTTTTTTTTTTTAATCACAAATTTTTATTTTCCAGATATTTTTGAAAGCTCTCAGTATAATTCAGACTCCTCAAACGATTCATACTCCCTGCAGATGTTTGGTACATTTATCATGTACACAAAATGTTATTATAAAAATCATTTGTAACATAGGAACAATTTTTAAAAATGGAAATAGCTGTTATGCATTTCCTAGATACATTGAGTTTAAAAATGAATGTGACTATATGTACGACTGTATGAACGCTGTTCTAACATTAGCTGCAATATTATACTTTGGTATTACTATTTGGCTTATACATTACCTGTGTCAATTAATTTTTCATTAAATTCAAACTCTCTCAAGAACAAAAACAGTAGTTATAAAAGTTTCATTATATTAAATAAATACATAAAAGCAACAACATAAGCTTCCCTTTTCTGATTGCACAATGTAGTAAAAAAGATGAAGTACTATAGTCACTGAACACTGTCTGAGTTCCATAAACGGAAACTGAGTAGGCTCTTGAGATGTCAGTGAAATTACTTCAATGAGCAGATCCAGAGAACTCTGTGTCCCAGGAACAGGGACAGTATTTCACATGTATAATATTGATGCTCCAAGACTCAATATGAAGAATCTAGTCAGTTATTATTTCTGGACTGAATGCAATCAATTAAGAATGTTTATCCACATAATACCACAGCATAAATGTTTTGAAAAAAACATAGTGAAGAAAGAGTATTTTCTTAAATTTTAAATTATAAGAGTCGTACTGATGTCAGCTGTGCAAAGGACACTTGCTTGTTTCTTGGTGGTCTCTGTTTCAGCTCTGTTTACCAGTATGTGGAGTTTTGAACAGGGAATGCTGACATAAGCTCAACTAAAGCTGGTACTGCTGAACAAAAAATACTTAATCCACTGACTTTAATAATAGTCTTGGCCCATTATTTTGCCTTTGTTTATGAAAACAAAATGTGCAATCACCCCCCCAATCCATTCCAAGAATCAGAGCGCACAATGGACTAACAGCAAATACATGCCCTTGTCCCTTTATGTCCCAATTGATACAAACCAAGATGAGTGTGCTAGAACCAGCCTCCAATCCAAGCCTGACACTTAAAGAAAGTTTCAGGTCCAAATAACCGAGGACTTCTATTTATTTCTTTTTAATTGAAGGCTCGGTTTTCCTTGAGCCCCAGGGGGCACTTCACATTAGTGCAGAGGCAGCTGACGTCTGAAAATACGTGATAGTCTGAATGTACATTACAAGCTGGCAATCAGCTCACACTGCTTCTGAGGGATGGACCCACACTTCATCGCAAGCTGCCCAGAAGCTTTATCAGAAAATGACTATTAATTTTCTGATGTAATGGAAGGCAAATTGGATCTTACAAGATTACAAAAATCAATTATCCAAAGCAAATCCATACTTAGGTGCACTAGAAAAACCCGAATATGCACATATATATGGAATTAGCTCATGGGAAATGTATACGTATATATGTCGATATATGCTCCCCCTTGATAATTATATTTTACAATATAAGAAGAATTATTAGGCTTTCAATTCCTACCATACAGGAATCCAAAAGAGATTCTACAAACCAGAGACAACACGTGTAACTGGAGGTAAGGGCAATTTGCCTGAAGAGGAGAAACTATCCTGGACACAACTGTTGAAGTACAGAACTACGAAGGATTCCTGTTGCCTTCTTTAACATTTGTTGGACTCAACCCCAGTAATTAATGTGAATTATCAAGAACTAAATCACGACCTCCAGGTGAGGTATTAAGCTGCGTATTAGAAGAATGAAGACAAGCAGAGAATATTGAAAATCCTCTTGAAACCAAGCACATTCTCAAAATTATTAGACCCAAGAAGTAAAAATAGAATGACAAACTGTCCCATATAAATTCTTAACCTTAGAAAATGAAACACTGATGTAGTTCTTTAAATAGATTATTACTTCCGTAGATGATCCACA